CGATAAAAAAAATTACTATTTATATAAAGAATGATACAGTATGATTTATTCATAAACTATTATAGATAATTGAGTTTCTAGTTTATTTCTTTTGATCAAAAGAAGATTTTTATATATTAGTCATACACGAATTAATTGACACAAATATTGTTTAATTGTTTATATAATTATCAAATATAAGATCTTGAAACGTTGATTAAACATCAAAAATATGCCACTCGATTTTATATTTCTCTTTTTGTCAGTAATTTATACCTCATATCATTTAATTTTAAAGAACTTTTCTGTTACTATTGCACTTTTACGAGAAAATGAAATTCAATCTCATATCAATGAAAATGCTCAAGTAGCTCAAACGAATATACCTAATCAATTGATTTCATTACTGGATTTTTTACAAATATAATGGTTGAAATAATGAATTCAGGAGCAGAATATTCTGTGGAAATATTACCAACAAATTATATTGATTTGAGTTGGTACAGTCGGTTTATCTTGAAATATAGGACCTTCTCGACTGAAGATTTCTGCAATGGTGAATAGATTTTTTGGTGGATGTACTGCACTTGATTGTTTATACGATATTAACTGCCTTGAAAATCTTGTTGATTATTTTCCGAATCTAAATCAAGTATGTAACATTCAAATTTTATCTCTTTAATCAGAATCTTTCTTTTTTAATTATCTAAACAACTTTAAACCGCACTACTGCTCTTTCATCGTTCGTTCGATCGATCATATGTGTCTGTAAAAGATCATCTAGCAAAATTATTTACTGAACAATGGTTAATTATTCAAAATATTTTAATCAATGTGCTCCCACTTTACGCACATATACAAAAACAGAGTATGTGAATTTAAGTTATACAATCACTTTATTACTGAGGAAAAATCAAAAACAAGAAATGAAAGTAATAGTATTAGACTAATTTTAATGTCTATGATAGAAACAAAAAACTTTGTACAAACTAAATCACTGCAAATTGCATCAATGATAAAAGATCGATTCATTTATAGAGTTGAATTTTATTGAAAATAATCTGAACTAAACTAGTGATTAAGAGAGATTCCATGAAATCACCACCCAAACAGGTTGCTAACAAAATTTATTTTTTGAAATAAGTTGTCTGGTTTGAAAGAGCATCAAAAGTTAGCCATGAATCAACATTTTTACAACTTTCGAACGAAATGTTCTGTATTTTCAAAATAAAATTGTTTTCACGGAAAAAGCAACTTTGACAAAAATCATCGATTTTCACTGGGGATTTTTCAGCTTTTGCTTATAATATGCACTTTTTTTTGAGTGTCTAAAATAAGTTTTATATATATTTTTATCATAAACAAATAAATATATTCATCGTAGTGCAGTTTTTCATCTTGTATTTTATTTGTTATAATATTTATGCAATGAATAATTTTTTTGGCTAGTACAATCAACTGATGTATTATTATTACAAGAGGAAATTGACGCGACGTTGCAAAACATGGATTTTTATAACACAAATGAAAATAATGGTCGATAACTTCTTTGTTCTCTTTGGGAAGGTTTATACGATAACAAAAAAATAAGAGCTATCGACAAAATGTACGTCAAACTTATTAATCTCAAAAAACAAGTTTTTCTGTATGCTTTTGTCCGTTTAAGATAAATTATCTATCTACCTAAGTCATGATCATAATCTGCGTCTCACGATCTGAAGAAAATCAAGTTAAACGATTGCATTGCACTTCACAAATGAGTAGACAGAGAAATAGCATGTACTTTGCTTCCGACACTTTTTACACACTAAACTACACAAGCAGGATTTTTCTCAACAACTTAATGTTGTTTAGTTTTACAGCCAAAAACAAACTATAAAAAAGTTGGAAAACGATACAATTGGTAGTATGGAAGATGCTCGAAGAGATGAAGTCGTAATTATTCAAATTTTAAAATGAACATAGTGTCTCTGATTATATTCATTTGCATCAATAAAAGAATGGCTTTCACCTAGAGAGTGTATGTGTGAGTAAAAGTCAGCCAAGCCTCCAGAATAAGAGAACTGAGGGTGTGATGGGAGAGATGGAGTACTTCCAACCAAAGTCGTGAAAAGTTTCCGACTTTCTGCGAAATTTGAGGGTGTGTGCCTGGGCGTGAGTGTGAGTAGATGAGATATAATTAGATCATCCATACGCATTCCATACCACGCACCCACACTGTGATCCACATTTACACCCACACCCACCCAACTTCACTCACACCCACACTCCACTCAACTTCAACCACACCCACACTTATTCTTCTATCTGCTGTATGCGTTAATTTTTTTAGAGGTCTAGAGCGTTGATTAGTAGTAACTGATTATACACTAGGTAACACACTGACATGAAAATCATCCATTTACGAAAAAATACTAATATAGATTAGATATTTTCCGTCTTTGTCGCATTCAACTTTATCAACAACAAAATCGGTTGCAGCAGGCAGTAACACTTCTTCTTCGTTTGGGTAATACGAAATTGACGATATGTCGTGATATACTGCATTTGGTTTTAATTTGAGAATAAATAATGTATTTCCGAAGTGTTGCGCTTTTTCCCGACATTTGCTTGTTGATGAAAACGCTAACCATCTTCGCCATTCACCAGTTGAATTTTGATAGTCATTAATCATTTCTTCGGTAAGCGTAACCCCACGATATAATAGGCCGTCATAAAGGTTCTTAAACAAATAAGATTCAGCTAGCAAATAGCAAAACGCGCCCAGAGTTTCTGTTTTGCTTCTATCGTCTTCTCGCAACGTCTTATTAATTAACTTGTAGAGAAATGATTCAGCCGTATAAAGACGAAAACAGCCGATTTGAATTTGACCTATCCTTTGATCTTGTAATTCTATCAGCTTATTCGCAATAGTTTCACCTTCAAAATCTAGTGTTAACAATTTTGCCTCGTTAACAATACCCTGACCAGCTTGCTTTATTATTTCTATATAATCCGGGTTTCCATGTTTCGGCGCAATATGTCTGTTGTCCTCTAACCATGCCCAAACAAAATCAGACATAGCATTTTTAGCTTTACCAAAAGGTTTCAGCGGCTGTTCACAAATGCAAAATCTATCTTCTCTGAGATACTCTCCATTACTATCAACTTTGATTCTTCTTACTTGTCTTTGTCGAAATGCATCATTTTTGCTAATTTGTAAACTTTGTTCAAAATCGACGTAGTGCTTATGTAACACTGCTTGGTCGTTGCCATTCAAATAAGCATCTTCAATGATATCATTTTCCATATCAGAGTAACGTCGCCATTCCGCTTCATCCTTCTCCCAAGGGGTTTCACTACCATTCCACTGCCACACAAACTTATATATGATTGAGGTATTTCCAGCCATTTTACTCTAAATAAATGCAGCTGTGCATTATTACTGTAGCTATAAGGAAAACCAAATAAATTAAAAATGACAGTGTGACGGTTTCTCCTCCAAAAAAGTGCACTGAATGCATGTTTGCTCTGTAAGATGAGAAGCGCACTGTGTTAAAGATAACTGTTTCATATATTTTCTACTGGCGCAAATATGATTTATTCAAAGAGTGAAAAAGATATAAATTTCATCTTTGAGGGTGGGAGTGTAGGTGGATGAGGATGACGGTGTGGGTGTGATTACGATATTCAACCTACACTCATACCTACACCCGCAAGCATCCTCTCAAGATTTATGTCGAAAAGTGGTTGATATCTTTTTTTCATGTAGTATTTTTCCATAATTTATTGAAACCCATTGAAACTTGATTGATCACGTGTGCGAAAAGTGTTTTTAAGTAGATTTCTTCACAAGTCACAGACTGTCTTCGATATAACTGTCCAAGATCAAGCAGAAAAACTTCCACTAGTTTTAACTCTATTAGAAACGATTACTTTCACATATTTTAGACCTGCTGTTTCTGAAGGATGTCATTATTCCATAGGAGAATATTTTTCTAATTAAGTTATTCATCTGCCACAAAATAGTTTAAACTTATCATCTCTGGTTTTATATTAAAGTGTATAAAATAGATCAGAGTAACATCGTTTGAAAAATGATAGAAGTCACAAAGATGAAATCAAAAATTAGTTCGAAAAATAAATTGTTTGTGGAATTTCAATGACTTCTTAATCACTCTATAGATATACTTATGAGAAAACGCTTTGAATTCCAGTTAGTATTGGCTTCATCCGACTTCTGTTTATGACAATACTTACCAAGTATTTGACTATTTGAATTAATGTTACGAAGCAAACGTTGTTTGAAACGGCTCTCTTTTCTTCTCAACTACAAGTGAAATGGTGTGATATATTTTCTTCCTTCTGTAGATATGATTCATCAAAGTACAATCGAGTTGGTTAAAAAGAAAAAAAAATTACTTTTTTTCTCCAACAATTTTGTATGAAAGAAAAATTAGGCAGTAGTTGCATACTACTTCGTCCGTAATGCAGCTGCACTATGTAAGCCATAATTTTATATTTTTCTACGTACTCTTCAAAAAGGTATGTTGTAAAAAGACCGAAAGAAAAAATGTCGACGCCATAAACGTCGAAATATAAATGTCGGAACAAAAATGTCGAAGAAAAAAATATCGAAAAAAAATACCGAAAAATCTTGAGGGTGGGTGAGGGTGGGTGTGGGTGTGGGTGTGGGTGGGTGTGGGTGTGGGTGTGGGTGTGGGTGTGGGTGTGGGTGTGGG